GAGGCAGAGGTGCATGCTTTTTGTGTATTAAAAAGAATGATGGATATGCCTGTCCTTCTGGGGACCAATGCTGTTTCGTAATATACCATTTTCCTCTTCAGGGTATACAGGTAGGGTGCCAGCCTCTCCTGGAGTTAACATGGGCCATGGAATGTGGGTGGAAGACACTTCCGGGTTTTGCCTCCTAACCTTGCCTTGCTCAGTACTCATCTTCTAATCAGATCCAGTGGAGGACTCCAAGCTGCTTCCAAAGGGCAGAGCCCCTGGATGAAATGAGCCTGGGTTTTCTTGCTAACCCACTGGACTGACTGTGGGTGATAAATAACCTGCTATTGCAGTATGCTACTGATACTTGTAGTTGTTTGTTATAACAGTTAGCCTATCCTAACATAAAGAGAATAGCTACAAATAAAACTGTATACTTTGTAGAACAAATCCTTTTTGTTTATGCAATATTAATTGGTTTATATTATCTTATTGGATGAATATGAAAAAGTCATTTAATCATGTTCTATCTAGAAAGGAATAGAAACTGGTTGAATTGATAGGCTACTTTAGTATTAGGCGACAGGTGAAATCTGAGAAACATGAAATAATTTATTATAGTCTACAGATGTTTCCCTTCTGCAAATAGAATGTAAGATTCATACCTCATATATAATCATATGACCCTATTGTTGTCTAAGACTTTAAGGAAGTACATTATCTTGGATTAAGTTACTTGTGCTCACTCACTTGTATTAAGAAGTAGCAGTACTTTCATACAGAGGAACTCTTCTTGGCTAACTTGAAGCTTCACAAACTCCTGTGGGATCTGCCACATGGTAAGGCATAATGAGTAGAATGATGATTCCTTCATCCGCTGTCTTGCATCACACACAACACACAAAAGGAAAAGCAACAGGAACCAAACAAACAAACAAAAAAACACACACAGTGTCTTAGCCGGTTGATGTAATTTATCAGAGAATATGAGACTTAGTAACTACCTTACTTAAGGAAAATGACTTTTTATAAACAAACTCAATACTTGGAATTTTAAACGTCTTCTAAATTTTTTCACAATGCTGGATTTTTGAGGTTAAGAAATTTTAAGTTTAGAAAATTACATTAAATACACATTAACTAAGATTAATGTTGTTTCTCACTTTTATTCCCACATTTTAAAAACCTAAACCAAGAAAGGAGAGCAAAGTTGTCGGAGCTGAGACATGGTGCTGAGGACCACTCAGGAAAGGCTTTATTTACTCATTAATTTTTCTTGTGGGAAAAAATACATAAAATTTTGTGTACAGTCCAATGGGAGAGTGAATTCAATTCACAGAAACTGAATGGTATAGAATAGTTCAGTGTATTCAGTTTAGAGTATTCAGTGTTATACTGTGAACTTTCCTGGAGGAAAGGTATGGTAATGGAGAAAGAGAACATTAGCCACATTAAATAACTGACAAGACAAACACAAATTCTAAATGCTGATTCCTTACCAATTTCAAGGGATTGTAGAATAAAATAGATTAGAGTGTATGAAAGTTATCTGTAATCTCTAAAGACTTATTTATACAAGTGTAATGATCATGTTATGTAATTCTGAGTCAGTATGCACCATTAGAGCAGTATATATATTTCCATGAAAAGATTCTTATTCAGTTTCAAGTTATATGTAGAAAGTTAATGACAGTAATTTAAATATAGGCAAGCATCTTGAAATATTTATCTTTCAATGTTTTAAATAAATTACAAGTTTAATTTTTCCTCTGAGAAGAGAGAGAATATTTTTACCTTTTGAAGGTAAATCAATACTTTCAAGCAAAAATATTCCTCATTTATTTCATTATCTTCATTACTACCAACGTACAAAATTTTAATGTGCAAACTAAATATTTACTTTTGTCGTTAAGTATATTTCTTGATACATTTTTGAAGTTTAAAAATATCTGATTTGAGACAAACGCTATACATTGAAAGAAAAAAGCTCCAAATATCAAATTACTGATAAAATAATACAATTCTGCTGATGTTGTCATTTCAAGTAATATCCTGAGAAACCTTTCAGGAAAATTCTATTATTTAGGATGCTAGATGTATAATCCCACATATATACTGTTGATAATAATAACAACAAAATCAAGTTATTACTTACTCATTTAGTATTAGATCGGGTGCAAAATATAGCATCTGTCCACTGACATGTTTATAGGATCTCCATCCTAGTGCAAATACCATTAAGCTCATCCAAGAATACTGGATGAGGGTTATCTGGTCATCAATATGTAAGTTTCGAAAACCTGCAGAACAAATTAAAAAATAAAATGATCACAATATAGAGAACAAACTAGTGGTTACTGGTGGGGAGAGGGAACGGGGAAGGGGCAGTGTGGATAGGGAAGTGAGAAGGACAAACTATTATGTATAAAATAAGCTACAAGAATATTCTGTACAACATAGGGAATATAGCCAATACTTTATAATAACTATAAATGGAGTATAACCTTTAAAAAGTGTGAATCACTAAACTGTACATCTATAACGTGTAATATTGTATAGCAACTATACTTCAATAAAAATAAAATTTTAAAAAGAATTATAAGAAAAAATAAGAATAAAAAATAAAATGATCACAAAAGTCACTGTGTCAAAAAAAACTTGAAAATAAATAAAAATTTGAAAATAGATACAAGTAGGGTAATATAATGGTTTAATCTCAATATATCTACACTAAAAATCAGGAAATAATTATAATAGAGTTTGAAAAAAAGGAGAAGAGATTTTGAAATTCATTAAAATTAGTCACTAAGATTTATCATTCTGAGGATTCACTAACTGAATCAAACGTCAATCAATCATTCAGTGATTCAATGCTGCTTTATTGAGAGCCAATCGTGTGCACGGCACTGTGTCAAAATGCTGGGGTTATGAAGATGAGGAGGACACGGTCCTTGCCCTGGAAGGAAGCTTGCCACTCAACAGGAGAGACAAGCAGATCAGGACCGCGATGGAGAAGGTGAAGAGGGAGCAAACCAGGCAGCAAAGAGCTCGGGAAACTGTCCTAAAACGGAGACAGCGCCTGAGCAGGACAGAGGCAGTCTGCTGAGGAATCGCACTTCTTTGGGATTTAAACATGAACTGGTTTTCTAAAATCACTGCTTTCAATTGCGCTGCAATTTTTCTTTAACATTCTTTAATTAAATCTTGGGTAGATTCCATGGTTTTCTGGTCACTTTTGCCTTTTGAAACTTAATCCAGTCTCGTTCTATAGTCCCATATGGCTTAAGGGGTTTACAGTCTGTGTGTATGGATGTGTGTAGGGGTGTGTGTGTGTGTGTGTGTGTGTGTGAATGCTCTGGTCTTTCATGCCTTCACAACCTCCCTCTTTTAGGCCTTTCTCCGGCGTTGATGGCAGAGGAAGAATGGCAGAGAAAGGGCAAATCTTGACTTACGTAGTCAAAGTTTTCTCTCCATCTCTTTCAAATTCTCTTCTTGCCTGCTTGGGGGAAGATGACCAGCTCAGCACTGATGTACTTAAAGGCGGGAGAGGCAAAGAGGTGCTTGGAAATGTGGGACCATACAAGACTGATGGGCTCGTATGCCTATTAAGGAGCAATGGGAGTGATATTTTATCTGTATCTATATACGTATCTATATCTATATCTATATCTGTATCTATATCTATATCTCCTGATTTATATTATGCATGACTCATTGGTCGCCATGTGGAGGTGAGTCAAGGGAACAGGTCTAAAGCTAGGGAGAGAAGTTCAGAGCTATAGCCAAAGGCCAGGAGAGAGATGATAGTAAGCCTGAAATAAGTCAAGAGGTAGAAGCAGAGAAGACAGACTGCATCAGAGAAATGTTTAAAGAGTAAAAGCAAAGAAATCAGGCAACTGACGGTATATAGGTGAGAGGAAGAGGGAGTCAAATAGATCTTGCAATTTTTTTTTAACTTGCACAGTGGGTGATGATAACATTACTGAGGTAAAGTAAAGGAGGAGAAACAGGCTAGAGAGAAAACAGTAAGTTTGGATTTGTTTGAGGAACCTTTGGAATATCCATATACCTATGAATTAGAGGTATGGGGAGATACTAGAGCTAAAAATACAAAATTTGAAGTTCATGTCTGTATATTACCTCTCTTGGTTTTTTTTAAATTATGGATCACTCTTAATACAATAGAACTAGTACAGAAATGCTGCTTATAAACGGATTATTTTACAGGCTTTAAAAAATGGATAATTCATTCTTTGACATATAAAAAAGTCCGGAATCATTTGATGAGAGATAAATAAAATTCCCAAATTTTTGCAAAGCAAGATGCCCTCAAGGAGGCATATACAGACTTGCCTACTGGTGGTCTGTCTCATCAGAGAGGAAGGGGTTCTGGAGTGAAGGCCCGAGTCCAAGCTCTGGCTCTACCGTGTACTGAATGCTGCCTGGTGCAAGTCATTCAGGATCAACGAATCTAAATTTCCTTGTAAGTAAAATCACAATGATAATGATAACTAGCTGACAGAACTGCAGTGACACTCAAATGCATCATTAGGCACATTTTAGAGCACTATGCAGAGGTCTGTTACTGGTCTACCAATAGATCCTGTAACAGAATTGCTGATGGAGCAATGGCTGCAGGAGGGCCATCAATCAGTCTGATGGAAAACCACTAATATTAAAGCAAAATGAGATCTAGGAGGCATTTTATATGTATATATATGTATTTTTAATATATTTTATGTATTTATATATCATGGAACCAGTATGACACCACTAAACTGTAAATGTTATTAATAGCAAGAAAATTCAAAATGAGAATTATGTATCCTATCTGGAATGTATACTTTCCTGAATTAACATTTCATATATATGTTTCATACATACCAGCAAATACATATTTGTCAAATATGTATGTGTTTAGAATATACATATTATATGTTACTAGATATACATAACAAATGTTATATTTCACATATATATGAAAAATGGCAGACTGGCAGAAAGTTAAGTTGAATTACTCTGATGTATTAAAACATTAATATATTGTTCTCTGTCATCGCCAGAAATATATTTATTATCCTCCATACCTTTCTTAGACAATTTTATAACTTTCTAAACAAACTATTTTATAATACCTAAATATTTAACTTACTATGCTATGTTTTCCTCTCTAGACCTTTGTTTTATATTAATCTCTAAGCAGTTTTTAAAATTTTATATGATCATTTAACAATTGATCTGTTCTTTTTTTAAAAACAAAGATTCTACTTAAATGTACATTTACACTACTCTATCCTTTGTTGTGGGGTTTTTGTTCATTTTTTCATTCTGGGGTTATTTAGGACTAGAAATAAAGGAACATTTTTAGTATATTATAGTATCAAAGGCAAATCTTGCTGAAATAACTTAAAACTTAAGAAATTATCAATATTAATAGTAGAAAGTATAGTCTTTCCATAAAGAATGGAAATGGAAATGTTAAATGGAAAACAGCTCAGAAAATAGCATTATTTACTCTACCATTTTGAAGGCTTATCTGAGATAAATGTACACTGTTAAATTGACTTGAACATGCTTGGTACAGAAGGGCAATTTTTTTTTTTACCATTAACTAATATCATTCATTACTTTATACTGAAACAAAGACAGGAACACTGAGATCAAATTCCCACTGGTGATAATGATCAGGTAAACGCAGTACATTTGAGATGACGATCAAAACGAAAACCTTCACAAGGAGAAGTGATGGATGACCCGCAATTGTGTTCAAAAAGTAGTAAAGAAAAATGCCCTTTCCTTTTAAAGTGACTTGACCCGACAATTTCTGACAAAAGCCCTGTCACAAGCTGTCTAATCCTTAATGCTTTAAGAAAAATGGAAAAGAAAGTGCACGGTTACACATGGCTTATATGACCTTCCATGGTTCTCCTGGCTTAATTCCAGAGTTCTGATAAACTGTCCAGATGTGCGCCTGTAAAAACTGTCATGTACTGCAACAGTCTGCAGCAAGGTGTCTCAACACCTTCTGACATAAAGTGTAAACTCTGAGGAACACGAAGGAGCTTCAGTGCAGCGTGCAATCACCAACACGTGTTTGATGACCCTATGAGTAAGGACTTAATGGGTCATGATTCACAGTAGTGTGGTCCTTTCCTATCAATTTCATAATTTTGATTTCTATAAAAATTCTTTGAGCACCCCTTTGGGAGAGAGTAGGTCATGCTGGCTTGGAAGCTTACTTTGCAACGAGATGTAAAGACTAGCAAGATGTTGCTTCTGCCTTTAACACTTGTAGCCTGTGAGACAGATAAGTAGAACATAACTACCATCCAAATATGATAGTGGTGTGTTGACAAAGCAAGGGGAGAGTGGCAGGGAGTGGTGGAGCAAAGACGCCTTTGGCTCAGTCTGGGAAGGCTTGGGGAAACTGCTCTAAGGAAAGTGATGGATGATTGGCACCCTCGAAGGGCGTCCAGGTAGGCAAAGCAACATGGACAAAGGAAGGCAGGATATTGTGCAAAGAGCTTTGTGGGAACTGAACCTTAGAGGTTTCTAAAGAGGCAGAGTGAGAGAGAATGTTGCAAATTCAACACAGAAGGGCCTCGGATATAAGGCCAGAAGTCTGGGCTTTGTTCTGAAAAGGATAATATAACTGACTATCCTTGTTTTTGCAAAGATGATTCTGGTGGCAGGACTGATGACTGTTTTGGGGGCAGCGTGAAACTGCAGGAATAGGGTCTGTGAGGGGGCTCCAACCAAAATCGAGGGAAAAGTGATGAGGATCTAAATGAGCTCATGGCGGTAGCAGTGTAAGTAGCATGTGTAACGAATCCTACATTCGATAAGTAGAACTGACAGAATTTGATAACGAAGCCGGCAGGAGGTGAAGGAGAAAAATGAGCCAAGGATGACACCCATGATTGTGTCTGCGGTGCCATTTCAAGATACAGGAAAAGGTTTCAGGCTTAAGAAGTACGTCGTGTTGGCTTGGAAGTTCACTCAGGTGGAAATCTGAAATAAGCAGTAGAAATGTATGGCCCACTAGTTCCGTAGAGGGTCTGGGTTGGGACCACGAAATTAGGAGTCATCAGAATACGGTGGAAGTCGAAGACAAGGCTACGAATGAGCGCATCCAGCCTTGCAGAGTGAGGAAATACTGGACTAGAAGACGGAACCAGGAAATGCTGAATTCATGGTATGAGTGGAGGAACAAATCCACAAAGGAAACAGAAGATGTGTAAATTGAGAGAAACTTATCTACCTGGAAGGGAAGCGATGACCACCAAAGGAAGAGTTCCAGCAAGAAATGGTTACTTTGTCAGTGGCCCCAGATGCATGTGAACCATGGTGAGGGCTGGACGTATTCATCTGGTTCGATAGGTAAAAAGTTTTGGTGACACTAGCTATAGGAATTTCAGTGGAAGGGGATGTTAGAAAAATCATTTTTTCAAGTCTTTATAAAAGCTGACTTAACTCCTGTTAGACTAATCTCATTTCTTTCCCATCGTTTCTTTGAGGAAAGTAATTTGATTTACTCATTTGATTTGGAAAAAAGAAAAAAAATCCCGTCACACATGCAATGGCCATTAGTGACTCAGAAGGTATTTTGCGCCCTACACTGGAAATTGACACAACATTCTAAACTGACTACAACTCAAAAAAAAAAAAAAGATATTCTGGGATGCTTAAAGGCATACAACCAGGCAAAGGACTGTTCCAGTCTTCTGATACTGATGATACACTGGCTAACCAAGACCAAGAAGAAAGATATGGTTAAAAATGTCAAAGCATTGACCTGAATAGATTTTCTTTTTCTTTCTTTTTTTTTTTTACCAAATAGAAGAATCAAGAATAAGTATATAAAAAGGAAATACTGCCCCCAAACCTCTCTGTCACATCAACTCTGCTACAATGTATTAATATACAGGACGGAGATATTGAAAGATGAAATTGGACTGGGGATAAACACTTATTCAATTTCCAAACCCTATCCGGACTTTCAGGACCTTCCTTGATCAGCCTGTAACATATGCCTCTACATTTATTTTCTGCCATTCTCCCCAATATAAATTTATTGTCAGTTTTTTTTAATACTGGAAACCCCTAGGAGGCCAGTACTTATTGTAGTAGTGTTTGAGAAACCATATGCACAAGTGTATTTTCTCAATCAGCAGCTATTAAAAGTTTTAATTACGATGCTGTAGGGGAAGATATGATAACATATTTTATGTTATTAAGGGACCCTCACACTTGAAAAGATTGAGAACCATGCTTAGGCTGCTCTCATTCATATTTACCAAATCTGTCTCATAATTTCCTTTTTATTACACCACCAGCCACACTATTCTTTCTATCCGGAATGCTTCCTCTTCTTATCATGATTTATCAAAGCCTCATTCTTCTTTCATGGTATACTTTAACTGACACCTTGTCTCTGAAGCCTTCTCTTGTCCCTGAAACCAAAAATGTTCTTCTGGCCCCCTTTTTTAAAAAAATATCTGCATCTAATGTCACTTTCACATACCCCTACAGTTGACCCATGAACAACACGGGTTTGAACCGCAAGAGTCCACTCACACAGGGTTTTTTTCAGCACTACAGCACTACATGATCTGCAGTTGCTTGACTGGGTGACTCTGCTGATGCAGACCTGGGCTGACTGTAGAGTTACGAATGGATTCCTGACTGCTCAGAGGGTCGATGCTCCCAGCTCCTGAGTTTTACTAGGGTCAACTGTATAGCTG